GAAAATCATCTTTGTTAAAAGGTAATGAGATTACTGAAGAAAGGGTAAGAGAGTACAGGAAGAAAGAACAACTCTTTAAAATTTATCATTATAATGAACAGAAGAGCAGAAGTCTGACATATACTTCAGCATCCAATAAATATTCTGTTTATAGGCACAGTTTGCAGTTAACAACATATCACCTCGTGCACTCATCCATTGGTGCATTGATGAAGACCACATACCAAAGATGTTTAGCCTCTGCAGATCTATCACAAATGAAAGCTCAGGTACTGAAAAGAAACCTTTGATGAGCCCTCAAAAATGCAGCATCCGTACTATCAGCTACTTGGGAATATCTAGGCTAATGTGCATAAAATACTACCAAATGGATTGGATTTCTAGTACTTTCTCACAAAATTACTTTATTCTATTTCTTAGTTGATCCTCTCTCAAACAAGTACGGGATGTTTTATTAATGCTGCACTGAGCTAGACACTGTTAACCATTTTAACAATGATATTTCAGATTCCAAGCCCCACGCCTATCACTGGAACCTGCATCAACAGAGGTGAAGGCAGGAGGAGGAACAGCAGCTGGTTAAAACACTACAACATCAGCTGGTATTTTCAGAGAATAAGAAAATTAAGTCACAAAATCCCAGTCATTTTAAATGGTACTTCAGTTCAAAATTTCTTCCTTTCAACTTACAAAGAAGATGATCAAGTTCATATCAAACAGAGAATGCATTTCTGCAATTATTTATACTTGGGTAGCTCTTGGAGGCTGCTGTCAGGCCTGCCTTCTGATTAAACTAAGAAATATATAAATACAGTATACAGATCTAAATGAAGTAGGTGCTCAAATCCTCTTAGAAGAATTTAAAGCGCTGTAATGACCCTTACATAAGCAGTGACATACTTGAAGAGACTGCAGGATATGTAAAAATACATAACTCAGAGAAGGAAAAAGAAAGGGAGATGGAGAACTGAGGCTGAGGAAGCTTACAGTACTGAGGTGAGGGGTTAAAAATAAGCAAGCTCACTAGCAAAAATACATCACCATGGCCAAAAAGTTCATTTGGCTTTTTCACTATCTGAATCAAGCTATAAAAAATTAACATCTGATTTTACAAATACATTCCATGCTATATTTAGTGGAAATAAAAACTGTTGTAAAATTGCTTTTTAATTTTCACAAAGAAGTGGTTCAGAAACTTATGGCCAACCAGAATCCAGACCCTTTAGCAGGACAGGAGAGCATACAATTTGTTCTCTATGTTAATGAGTTCTGAATGGGACCACAAACATAGCACTTAAGATATCTCAGTTAAATTACATAACTTACCTTTGGTTTCTTCTCTGTTGATACGCTTTGCGCTACTCACTGAGCTCTGTTCAAGTGCTACACAGTTACATACACCATAAAAGTGTTTTCATAAAGGAGGCTTACTCCTGATTTATAAATCTTCTGAATATGATATTTTCTGTGAATGGATAGTCAACTGCACGAACAGGACATTTCCCATTAGCTGTTAATGTCCTAAGTTATGATGAAAAAATGAGTGCCTCATAGTGAGGACAGCTTTCTGCCCATCTCTCTAAAGACAGGTATGCAATTTTCTGGTGCACTTAAACCTAAAGGAGGGAAGCTATAGACAGAGGGAGAGTTGGTGCTTTGGGAGCTACTGCAAAGCAGCATTCACAAAATCTAACTGGGTTTTCAGAAAAGTACACAAGACCTCTAATGTAATTCTGAGCTTGCTACAAATCTATTTTTTCTTTAACAACTAAATATACAGTAACCATCCACTGACTTGAACACGACTAACTGCTTCTTCTTCATTAATCCAATGAAAGATGCAAAATATTTACTTCCTTTACTTTAAGGAATAAATTTTCATGCAGTATAGCTGTCTAGACTAATCATGCTCATTATGACTGTAGCACAGTGTATAAATCTTATTAGGGACTCAAAAAGAACATTATCAACTTACAGCATTGTCTTAAAGTCTGTATTTAGAGTAATTATGGTGTTCTTAAAACTAGTATATTTTAATTATTAATGTATAGGTACTGAAATGGGTTTGTATTGTAGCTTTTGAGAGCTCAATTAGAATTTGCTTATTTATATATAAATTAAACACTCACTTGCCAAAATAGTAAAGGGCTGCAGTGCTTCACAATAATCCTAGTAATAATTCAGAAAAAAGAGCACTTCTTCAATGCAAATCCGCTCAAGAAAAGCTTCTATGCACAAAGTAAGATGAACCAGTTACTGCATTGTTTATTAAGTTTCACTTGATTCCTCCTGACAACCATTTAAACAATGAATGTTGGGAAATGTCTCTCAGAGAATCAGCGACAATGGCTGGGATCAGAGCTTTTATATTTAGCTAATACTGTTTTTAGAAAGGAGAAAATATTTCTTCCTGAAGGGATTATAGGAGGTCTTATAAAAGACACCTGCAAACAAAGCAAGCGACAAAAGATCTCTATCATAATTGATAACAGTTATCCTTTGTACAGATCTGCGCTTCTTCAGAAATAAATATTGTATCTTTGCTACTGAATTTCAAAAGACATCAACTAATCAACGAGCTTGCTGATCAAGAATAATAAGTTTTAGAAAACCTGACAAGAAGGAAGTGCTTATGCCTAATGGATAGCAGCCTGTTATTAAACAACAGCGAGTTCCTAAGTTTTCTTCTCTGATATCAAAGGGCACAGGCAAGCCTTCAGCCTGTATTCATTTAACAGTGTACTGAACATACAACATCTTCGCTTTTTTGTTTTGAAAAAGAAAAGTTTTTGCTTAAAATACAAAATTTCGCACTTTAACTTTGCCCCTTTTTTTTTTTCCTCCTATTTTTGACAGTTTTTTAGTAGCCTAGTTAAAAAAAAAAATTAAACAGCATGAGGGGAAACGTTTGTAACATGCAGTTTACACCACAAGCTTTGAAGAAGAAAGCAATCACGTATAATGCAGCAGCTTCTACACCTTTATCACAGATCAGTTATATTTTGTAAGCATGTACTGCCTGGACTATGTGTACACTGGTCAAATAACCAGGCTTCCCAATTCCCCAGTTCTCATGTACTTTGCATACAGGTTACCTCCTTCCCCAGCTTGCTTTTGGAACAAAGCAGTTGTCTCTCTCAGAATAAAAACTGTGTCATTCTCAAGAAAATTTGCTTCAGGGTCTGCTCCCAAAAGAAAATATGGACAAGACCACACCAGCTTTGGGTCCCTTCTGTTTACATGGAGTTCTCTAGCATTTTCCCAGCAAATTTTGCATCCTCAGACAACCTCACATGCCTTAAAACCACATGCCAGGGCATGCAAAACACCCACTCAGTTTCTTGCTATAAACACATCACGCAAGTGGGCTGCAACACAACCCTCACACTATTATACATGCACAGAACTAAGGAAAAAGGTTAATCTTTTTATCTCAAGATTTAAGGCCCAGAGGATGCTCTGGCCAAGAGTGGTATATAGTACACACGTTATTCAGTCTGCTGTAAAGAAGACAAATGTGTGGAAACTCTTCTGCGTTGCTTGGCCTAAGGGCCAAGGACTTGTATGCAGAAAAAATGTTTTTGACTTTGTGGAAGTAACCCCTATGTTAAAAGAGAAGAGGACAAGGATTGCACAACAGCCTGATGCCTGATCTTCCAGCCAAAAGGAAAAGCACTTACATATTGTCCCAAGAGAGCTGAAATAAAGTATAATATTCTGTCTAAATGATTGTTAATGAGACTGAAGAAAATTTGGAATCTTTGTAAACTGTAGAAAATGGGTAGTGTACTATGAAAAATGTTGATATTTCATTTTCAGGAAATAATTTATCAAGGCCTTAACATAGGCATTTGAATTCTTCATATTTGCTATGAGCAACTGTAACCCACCCACCCACCCCCCCCCCACACAAAACTACCCAAGAGCAAAACAGCACTTGCTTTAATTGTCAGGTAAAGCACAGTGCCCTCCTTTATTCCCCAAAATAGCATGACGCGCTATAAGGCTTGAAAAACAACTGCATATTTCAATTCTAAGAGCTTAACTACAGTAGGATAGCTCTTTGGAATCTTTTATTTTTTTTCCCCTGTTCTCGAGTTCAGCATTAACAATGTATTTAGTCTTGCTTTTATGAACCTGCAATGTCTTTGGCTTAATTTTAAAGAAGTCAAAGCAAAGTTGAAATCCTGATTGAGAGAGGAAGAAAAGTTAGCAATCACACCTTAATAAACATTTCTGACTGAAATATTACAGGGCTGATCCACTAAGTGGATCCAGAAGATCCACTAAGCCATTTCTTTTGTCTAGCTTCCATGACTCTGTCTGTTCTGTGATTCAAGTTCCTTTGATACAGTACAATCAATCCTTTTGTTGTATTATGCTTTTCACAGAGTTTTATAAGGAGGATTAACAGAAACTGCAACAGAAAAATTACCTTGGTGTCATATATAATCCTTTCATCATCATCGAAATCTCAGTGCTTTGTCCATCTTTTTTTGTCTGTAGTAACTTATTTCACTTGTTCCTATTAAGGCTATTATATTCACCTTATTACTACTAATCTTTTCTTTGTAAATAGCCACACCTATTTTAATCCAAAATGGTGTGGTAAGCATTTGATTCTTTGTGGAAGTAGACACATAATTAGGTTAATCTGTGCTATCTTTTCATGTGAGTTGATTGTTTCTTTACTATGGACATATTTCTTATAACAGCAATAAGCTTGCCAGATTGCTTGGAGGCAAATCAGGAGCAATTTACCAAGCATGTAGCTACTATGAGCTGAAATCCTGACATAATAGCAAGCTGTGTATAGCCACTCCTACCTGCCAGTTATTACTCATGTTAGCTTTTTACTGACACACTGAATTTCAACCACACCTTTCTTTCACAAACAAGCACTTTCCTTAAACTAAACTACATCTGTAATAAACAGCTCATTTTCTCTGAAGCCAACAGGAATCTAAATTCAGAATGCAGTTTAGAAGCAAATGAATTACCTGCACAAAATCCAAAAATGTCAATGGAAGCAAGTCGTCCAGATGGCCAATATCTTTTGAGAAACGATTTAAGATTCTTCCTACAGAAGTTGAGTTGGAAAAGGAAAAAAAATAAAAAAAGGTAAATATTGTTCCTTAAAAGATAAAAATACCTTAAACTATACTTAACAATCAAATAGAAGCAGCTAGTATCTAAAAAGACACCTTCTGAAACCACCATGGAAGACCTTTTACAACCAGTGCAATGTATTTTGAGAAGAATACTTTTTAAGAAATGCTTTTATTTAAACATAAAAGATTGACTACAAAGCTGATGTTGTTCTTTTCCGGCAGTTCAGGCTAATAGTTCAACAGAACATAACAGGTGAAAACTTTATATATTCAGTCTGTGCACATAAAGGGGATTGAAGTATTGGCACCCTAATACAAGTTTCATCAAGTAACATCAGCCAGAATCTGCTTCTGGCCTTGAGTGAAATTCACTAGTGCATGCATGTCTTAGATAGATCACAGTTGATCTAACTGATCCTTTTTAGTATTTCTGTTCTCACCCCTCCTTTGTGAATCCAAACAGCAGGCATTTCTCAAATAAAATTTAAGGTAGATTTCTGTTTGTGCAGGTTTACGTTTAGATTTATTCAACACCTTGACAACACTGCTCTTCATTAAAAGGAATAAAACAATTTTTAATCTGCTGTCACTGAAGCATTTACACTCTTCTATTTTCCCAAGTTCTACATGAGTGAAAAAAAATCAGTAAGAGCAATAGCTCTTTAATAATTAAAGTCACAACACTGCCATCCATAAGTGGATTAGTATCTTTCTCTATTAATTGATATTTCGACTCTACAGGAAAGAAACTAAGCTAAGGATGGGAATCTGTCTGTTATAGGGTGTGCAATGCCCATACATGCATTCACGTTGCTTTTTTATCTACGTATATCTTGATTCAATTATTACTTCTAACTGGTACAAACACATTCTCTGCATTGGCAACAAAAGACTTTTTTTCCCTTTTCAAAGGAGCTCATTAAACTGAAAGTAGTTAAGTTTTAAATTTCCATGGAGTGCACTGGAGACATAATTCAGAGACAACGGCATAAACAGAAGCAACTTCTGTAGCAACCATCATTCTATTTTTCAGTTGATGGCCGTCTCAGAATTACAGATTTTGTTGCGTAACATTGATTTCTTTTTGAAAGGAATTTTCGTTCCACACCAACCAATATGCAAAATCCTCCTCAGGGCTGGGACTCCAAAGATTCTGTTGGCAAACAGCTTGTTCTGCAGTATGCCAGTCCAAAGGCAGTTATGTCAAACATCAACTTAGCATGAATCCTATTTTGGTGCACTGCACATGCAGAGAAAGGGTAACAGCAGCACAAGATTCAGCAAAATATATTTCATAATATTTCTACTAGAAAAGGCAGCTAGTGATTTCACTTATTTCACGATGGAACAGATCCATTAGAAGGAACTCCACGAAAACTTTTTTAAGTTTCCTTTTCCTTTGTCTTCCTTACATTGGGATTTTGCCCATGGAAGAGTACGCACACCCTGCACACATGCTTGAGATAAGACTTTTTAACATCTCTAAACATTGCATTCCAGGATATTTCCCAAAGATCCACGACTTCATTGGTCATTACCCACAGAGGTGCAATGATTCCTTTGGGCAAAGCTTTCCTTAGCAGCTTGTCCCAGAGAGCAGATGAGAGAAAGAACACGGCACAGTTATTGGACTCAGGTAGATATTGGCTTTCTTTCTCCATCTTTGCCTCTTGTATCCTGAGCTACCTTGTTATATGTTACAGAGCAAAGGGCAGAGAAAAGGGCAGAGAAAAGGGAGGTAGCAGCACCCAGCCCCTTTGTGAATCACCATCAGGGGTGCTGACAACAGCCTGGCCCTGTCCCACAGCCTGGAATCAGTGCCCAAATTCAGTTTTACAATCTTCCATCACCTTTTAAACACAAATAAGTTTTATGTGCCATGGTTACAGAGGACTGTCCGCCTCATACAGACTGTCAGCTGCTCTGTAAAGAATCTCTAACACAGCTGCTGGTTGCAGCTGCTATGTGGCTACCCACAGATACGGCATGGCTTGGGTCACTACCAGCATCCTCAGGAAGCAAGCAGTGCCTACCTCACCCCCATGCTCTGACCTGTGGAAGAGCATATCCTAACTTGTTCCTAGGAAAGTGCTGTGTTCATGCTTGATTTGGATAGTGAGGACAAGTCCTTAAGGGCTAGAGGAGAGAAACCGGCACAAAATGCTCACTGACTGTCAGAAGCATTTAACTCTTTTGTAGCTTCACTTCCAACAGGATCCTCGAGTTCAGTTCTCATTTTTTCTCCCTGCCTTAGATTTGAAGAAAGGCCAATTAAAGTTCCTCAAGGAGGAACTCTGCAGAGGTTGAGTTTAGGTTTGGGCAGAATTTTTTGGAAGCTGTGACCATTCTCAATGATTTCCTGAAGTTTCATTTTTGCAACTAAGACTTTGAGGCTGCAAGCATGATACAGATCTGTATCAGTGCTTCTAGCTGATAAGAAAGCAACACAGATACAAATGAGAAGAGCCTGATGTTTGCATTCATCCTGAACACCAGGGGAGGTTGTGACAACGTTCTCTTTTACAGCAACACCTGGTGAAGCTGTTTGAGGAGTACGGTCACAATATTCCTCTGGTCTTCCACTCTCTTCCACATATCCACTAACAACCAATTACTCAAGTTCCTGCGAGTAATTAAGTTTCTCATTAATTGCCAAAACTGTATTTTTGGCAATTGCCTTTAAGCACTGTTACATTTAACAATTTCATTCAGTGCTTCCACAGACTACGTTTTGACAGAGCTACAAGCTGCCACTAGGAAAGTGGAAATTACTCTGACGTTATCAATAAAACATGAAAACATCTTTTAATCTGCCTAATCCTCTTTAGAATGTAAATACAGTAATTCTGTAAAATGACATGAACTAAAATACGAGTGAGCAGAAGAAATGGTATATAAAAGATGTAACTTGAGAACAGTGGAACCTTTTACAGTCCACCTCATACAGTTACAGCAATTTAAACACTGGGGACATGATTCAGCTGGTTCACAAATAAGTACTGAGGTGAATCTCTGGCAGCAGAATGTTACTGCTTGTGAATTTTCAAGTTACTGGAAAAAAGTTGTCCATGGTCTATTTAGTGTTTGCATATCGTAATTCCAGAAAACAGCACCTCAAGTCATTACGATTAAAAAAATGCCCTGCTTCTTGCTAAGAGGTCTCTTTCTCTCATAATGCCAGTGTTATTCCAGTGACTACTTTCATGACTTCAGAAAAGGAAGCAACATAGTTCTATTTTTGTGATGCTGGTTTTCAGTAATATTACCCTGCTGACTGTGTAAGAGAAGACACAGGCCCTGAAGATTTATTTCAGATCCTGTTCATAAAGATATAACTGCACTGGCATTTTATTCAGTGTGTTCAGCACAGAAGGCGGCTACGGTAACCCACTAAAGCAAGCAAATTCCAGCACCAGATAGCAGAGAGCAGCGTAGCTCCAAGCAGAAGTGCGATACTTTGAAAACATCCACAAAATGCCCTGTAGCCATCATGATGTTGCACTGAGAACGATTGCTAAATTTACAAGGATGTCTGCAAGTAAATGAGGTCTATTTTGCAAGGTATGGAGAAACAACTGTCTCTACTTATGGGAAGCACAGCAAATCAGTGGCTTAGTTATGCATTATTAACCATGCAAGAGAAAACCTTCCAGATATGAAAATAACAGTAGTCATTTTCAGTCAGGATTCAAAATGCTTACAGTTACTACCACAGTTTCTACCTGCATTTGCAAAGCTAGCTTTTAGAGATGGCACTTTAGACTAAAGAAACTGTTGCACCTGCTATTCAGGAAGGACAAGGTTTGTACAAGGTATACTAAAACAAAATACAATTTCCCCTCCAAAGCTTTTAACATCCTGCTCTTCCAAATTCAGACCATCAACATCACCATACAATACCTAACGCTTAAAAAAGACAACATACCTTGTGAGCATTCCTGTGACACAGATAGATGCTGAGAGACAGTATTTCTTACACCTAATCAGCTCACAAAAATCTTCCAGCTCACCTAATGCTTGTCCCTTTTATTGATATCACTGAAATTCAGTTTAAGTTTCAAAAGGAAAAAGGAACTACTAAATACAGAATTTGCAAGGCAATTGAAATTTCATGAAAAGGCTACAGGAAAAAAAAAAAAAACCCTCTTGAAAACAACAACACAAGAACTGAGCATGCTGATGTCACAACAGCACCCAAATTTGCAAATGCAATCTGGTGCTTTAATCATTCTCAAGCTCCCACTTAGCGTGCTGTGTGAGTAGTGAGCTGCAGAAGAGAACGTGCTCTTTTCCACAATTCCATGTTTGTTTTTACATTAAGTAATTTAATCAGAAAACACACTGTTGTTAAATTTTTTCCTTAGTAATTAAATAGCTATTCAATGCCAATTAATCATAGTTAAATAAAAGTCTGTCACCAAAGTGCTATGTACACATTTGAGACTATTTAATGGTCAAATACTTGGCAGTATCAAAGTTAAATAATGATTCATTAAACGTCCTCCACTACACAATAGTTAGGCTAAACTTGAAGTGAAAGAATCAAGCTCCTTTGTTCTCCATGAAAGAGCCATCTAACCTCAGAATGTGATACTTTTTACTTACAAACTCTGTAGATTGCTTTAATTGCACGAATCAGAATGTGTTCAGGTGCGACAGACTCACTTTGCTTCTGCAGGTGCTTACTGATACCTTGGAATTGATGTTCAAACCTATCATCCAAATAATGAAAACACTTGACAGTGCACCACACCTACTTAAAATGTTTATACATACTTTATGATGAAAGAAATATAATCCAAACTGAATCAACACTTGTGATGTAAACACCAGAAAATAAGAGGATTATATATATATTTTTTTTTTTTTAAATAAGAAATGAGGATCTTCCACAGGACCAACCAAACGCCACCAATAGCATTCAATATTGCAAAATGTAAATTCCAAGGGTCAAGGACTCCAAGAGCTG